TCCCCTCAGGGAAAAGGGCGGCCTATAAATAATAAACAAACTACAAACTACAAACTTATAACTCCTCCTTCTCCAATCTCTCTGCCGTTTTTGTAGATTTAAATGCTTTAGAGTAGAGTTCCTCAATGTTTCTGGCTATGTGGACTGGCAAGGCGGAGAGGGGATGTACTGCATCAGTGGCTGGCAAGGGTGCATGCCGCTCACACAAATTAAATGTGTGTGTACTCACTCACCTGCTGCTCATACAAGTGAGGATGTGTGTGTGCATGCACGTGCTTGCCAGCTGTTTTCATGGCCTGGTTGCAAACCTTTCACAGCCCACTAGTGGACCATGGCCCACAGGTTGGGGATACCTGCACTAGAGACTGGAAGAATGGATCAGGAGCATATGCAAGTTCTCCACCTCTCTTTTAAAAGGAACAAATCAGAGGTGGTATTCAGCAGGTTCTGGCCAGTTCTGGAGAACTGGTAGCGGAAAGTTTGAGTAGTTTGTAGAACCAGTAAATATCAATTCTGAACTGGCCCATCTATTCTCTGCCTCCTGAGTCCCAGCTGATCTGGAGGGAATGGAGATTTTACAGTATCCTTCTCCTGCCATGCCCACCAAGCCATGACCACAGAACCGGTAGTAAAAAATTTGAATCCCACCACTGGAACAAATACTAGTACTGGAGCAGACATTCTTAATGCAAGTATCTTACTCACCTGAGAAAATAACTGTCCAATACATGAACGAGGTCCCAGCGAAAATGGAAAATAGGAAAAATAAGGTCTAGAAGAAACCACATGAAGCAGAAAAGTTTTTACGTTGTGCTATTCATCTAAGGATACTAGAACTGTTTAGAAATGTAGTTTTATAGAACACCCCTTCATTTTTTAAGAATACTATTATTTCTGCTTTCTGCGCAGTGAGGATAATCATATTTACATTTTTTATTTCTCGAAGAAAGCACTGCATAGTTATTAGGATTAGAAACTAATTTTACCTACTACCTCACTTTTAACAGCAGCCTCATTTTCAGTTTTAGGAAATGACTACAGTATGTGTCAGAATGTTGTCAATACTGATATTTACTTGTAATCTTAAGAGATGAGCAGGCCTCCCAAACTAATTTCCATCAGTAATTCTTAAATAACTAGTAAAGAGGGGTTCCCAACCCCTGGGTTGTGGCCTATTTGCGGCAGGCCGCACAAATGTACATGTGCACAGAGCTCAACTTGTGCAAGTTGAGCAGCGCACGCATGCGCATGTCTCATGTGTGCTGTGTGCCAGCCCGCCGCTCAGGTGACCAGGGACCCATCTCCCTCCCCACCACCAGGCAAATCAAGAGGCAAAGGTTGGGGACTGCTGTAGTAAAGCACACGTCTCAATGTCATTCACCAACTTAGATGTGGAACACTTGGTATAAATGGCACACATTATCATCAAATGATCCTACTATTCCCAAAGACTTATACGTGCCTTCCTATATACTGAACAGGGCTTCATCGAGCTCCAGGAGACAGCATCAAGTGATTTCATTAAACAAATGACGATTCATATTACTTATGCAGGAAAGGCATGTTTACTGGAGAAAGTTAGAGCAACCTGTTTGAAAATCCTTTCTTTTGTTCCAGGAGGTTTATGGTATTTTCTGCTTGACTCTAAAAATAGTTAGATTTGTACACAAAAGTTTCTGATAATTTTGCAACATTTCAAACATTAAAAGATTTTAAAAACAAAGGTCACCTTGATTTGCCTTTGCTAAATCGATCAGGATCAAAGGTTAGAGCATCCTTGAAGTATCTATCCATGCGTCCCATGATATAGGTATTGAACTGTCAAGGGAAGAGGGACATTGGCAGAGATAAATATAAAGTCACCTGAAAATAACTCGGGCTGTTCACAGGTGCGGGAAAATTCATATTTTAATGAATTTCTAATGCTTGCCTTTGGACTAGTCTTAAACAAATCCTTGCTGCTATTTTCATTTCAAGATTATCTTGTCCTTGGAAACTCTGTCTGTCTGCCTGTGTATGTATGTGTGCACAAATTAATAAACTCACAAATAAATCATAGTAGTATTCAATCTGAAAAAATAGCAATAACATTTAGACTTATACACTGCTTCAAAGTGCTTTGCAGCACTCCCTAAGTGGTTTACAGAGTCAGCATATTGCCCCCAACAATCTGGAACCTCATTTTACCAACCTCGGAAGGATGGAAAGATGAGTCAACCTTGAGCCAGTCAGAATCGAACTGCTGGCAATCAGTAGAATTAGCCTGCAATACTGCATTCTAACAACTGCACCATTATGGCTCTTCACTGTGAAAGGAAGTCACAACAAAAAAGTCAAGGTTGTCCTCTACAAAATGTGGGACATGGGTTTGCATTATAGGAAGGGAGATTCCAATTGAATTTTGGGGGAAAAAATTCATCAATATTCCAGAGCAGTTATAGCCTCCCTTTCACTAGATGTATTCAAAGATGGCTAGACAACCATCCCTTCAGTAAGCCAGGAGCTGGATTCAATGTTCTAAAATTCCCTTCCAACACTATGGATTTGAGCCTAATCTAGATGTAAAATCAATTTGTGACATTAGTAGACAATTGAGCAGTCATCTATTCATAACATTTGCTTTCTACTCTTTATCATTTAAGTGGAATATATGGCAGAAGACTGCACAGACTCACAAATAGGGTGGTGTTTGCTGGAATTTCAATTCCTTCAATTACATTTTTCTTCTCTGTCCAGCGCATAGTGCCTGAAACTGGTGGGTATAACCGTAGGATTTCTTTGAGGACCTGTAAGTAAGAGCCAGCTTTTAATAGTTGGTATGATATTGCATAAAGATCCTGCAACTGTTTGCCCACTTTTCACTAAAAGTAATCTGAAGGCCAGGTGAAATTCAGTAAATGGAATCATGCAAAATTACAAGAATTAAAACCATAATCCTACAGAAACACATTAAACGATATACATTTGAAGTGGGTGTGCTCCAGGTTCCACCTGGTAAATGCTGAATAGCATCCCCCACCCCGAAATATAAGCTGTCCTTTCTCTGGATTTCCATAAAGCCCTGAAAATTGTGGTTCTAGGTCTAAGGTAAATGTGTTTAAGGGTGAAGGAATCATCGTGCTTTGCTTTTAATGGTTATTTTTTGTCCAGACTGTCTTGTTTTCTTTAATGTTCTTAATTGTTTTAATTTACTACAATATTTTTGATAAGCTACCCAGGGTGCACTGGAGTGGGCACTTATATTAAATCTAAATAATAATCATAATAATCGTACAAATAATGTCCCAATACAATGTATATCTAACATTCTAAGCAAAAACAATGTACTTATTGTTTTAAAGGTGAGCCCTGGGTAAGAAGATTTCACTTTGTGATTAAAAATCAAAATCCCAGTATCTTTGCCATGGCATTTAATGATGCCAAAAGCCATTTTTTGCAAATTTCTTTCAGAAGCAAATTTATCACTCTTACTATTAGGATAGAAGCACAGAAAGGCGGGGTCAAAATCTTGGATTAACTATAGGTTTATTATTCAAGTGTACCTGTGTTAAATATTCCAGTTTCCTCAGATCTTGGTAGGCAATGTCTCTCTTCACACCAATAACTTCATCGACTTCAGCCTGAAGTCTAAAATGCAAGGGCAGAAGAAACGTGGTTTAGCCAAAACCCAATGACAAATTGTGAATGGGTGGATAAGGCTTTATTTGATGAGACTAGCAGTCATTTATGACAGTATTTGTTTTCATTGTTGTACAGAGCTTCGAGTCTCATGACTGGGGTGGTCTACACATACAGTAAGTAGGCGAGTGAATAAGTAAATACCTGCATATCCACCACTCCCTTTCAAGGTTCAAAATAGTTAATTACCTTCATAGTTCTATGCTCCCATGCAGACTGTCAGAGGGGAGGAATGCATAAGAACAAAGGCAAACAGATCTACCTTGGGGCTACTTATGACCCAGATTCCAAATTCTGATGGTCAGGGTCCTCCAGTGGTCACACGACTAAGCTTTGGGCACTGGGCAACTGGGACACCTTTACAGTCACTTGTAAAGGTGTCCCAGTTTCCCCTGGCCATGTGGCCGCATTTTATGATGGATTTGCTTCTGGTTTTTGGCAAAACTGTGCCCATAGCAAACCAGTACTTTGTTTAACAACTGTGGTGTTCACTTTGTAACTACAACGTTTAATATTCATCACAAAAAAGGTGGCAAAATTGGGTTGATCACGAGGATAACCTGCTTTATGCCAAGGACTAACCAAAAAATACACAAACCAGATTTACATATTCACATACCTTTTCCTTTATTTTATAAGGGATCAATTTATACTCTGCTGGGATTGGCAGTGTGTGTGTGTGTATAAGATCACTTTATAATCTCCTGGAATTGGCAGTTACACACACATACACACACACACCTGCAGTATGTACTATCCCAGAGTGCATGTAGCCTCTACTGCTTGTCTGTATGTGTGTGAGTTGTAGAATATATGCAAGAGAGAAACCTGTTGTCAGTCTAGTCTGATGTGATGGCGGTATGGAAGGCTAAGCCCTGGCCCAGCATTGTTGGGTCTTGTGGAATGCTGCTTCTGGCACTGGCATAAGTGGCAAGAAGCCAATGCTTCTATCTACATTCACTGAAGGGGCAGGGATTGCAAGAGAGCAAGCAGGCACACAATGGAAGGCACACAATGAAAGATACACATTGAAGGGAAAGTGGTGGCATCAGCAGTCCTGACTCCATTATACAAACAGCCCATTGTGTGCCTGCTTGCTCTCTTAGAATCCCTTCTTCTTCAATCTCTCTGCTCTGCAATTTCTGTGGATTTAGCTCCTCTAGAGCAGAGTTCCTCAATGTTTCCAGCTTTGCAGACCAGCAAGGGGGACGGGATAGTTCTGCGTGGGCAGCTGGCAAGCGTGCATGCTGCTCACACAAATGTAGTGCACGTGCACACACTCACCTGCTACCAAACATAAATACATCCGCTTTTTTATAATCTATCTTATTTGGCTTCTTATAGTTTCAAAGTCTGCATATCAGACTGCAGTGATTCTAAGAGGTTTTAACTCCTCCCCCCCTTTTGTTCTATCACTGAAAATACAGTAGCCCAGATAGTCAATTTTATATGCCTACCTGACATCTGACAGGGGGGAGGGGGAAACACTAACAGTTTCACATGACCTTTTTTATGTTCCAGGACAATTCATCCTTCCACACAGATATGTATCCAATAGTTCTGTTGCTGATGAAGAATATGTCTTTCCAAATATAATCAATTTTCAACAAATCACAGCAATCAGAAAGCAAAGCATGTGTAGGACGAAAGGAGTATGGGATTCTAAACAACCCAAAGGGCAGCCTGAATTGGCTCCAAACCTTTTTTTTTAAAAAACAGTCTGCGAAAAAATATAATCATATATAATTTCAGAAAAATAAACAGTACAACAGCATACTTACTTTGCAACTATTTCTGGCTGCCGTGCTAATTCCATGATAGTAAAAGATAATTGACTGGCAGTGGTCTCGTGACCTATGGAGAATAACAATTTATTAACTGAAAAAATAAAGGTATAGTTTAAAAGTAATCAAATTATAAGAGTACGCCAACTTAAAACATTTCCAGTGGAGTGACAACACTATTGCCAGGAATGGTTAGTTTATGACATTGATAATACAATCTCTTAACTCAAAAATTGGGTTAAAGTTGTGTTAAGAGTAAAAACTGATTCGAAGGCAAAGAACTCCCACTATGTGCTTTCTAGTAAGATAGGACCATTGTGGAGCAACTTAGTTGAACCTGTGCCATATGCAGCATTTCTGCTTATATTAAGAGTAGTACTGCTCTTTTGGCCACTATGTCACAAGCCCAACCAAAGTCGTTTTATCCCAAGCATGCTCATTTTATTTCAAGTTAGTGCTTCTAATCAAAAGCTTACTTTTGCAAGCCAACTACTGTCCATATTCCCACCAATTCATAAGTATATACAACATACTGAAATACACGTGGAAGACATTTTGTTTGTTAAATTGGAATAGCTGTAAATTAAAAGATTTACAAACCTGCCACAAAAAAGGTGACAAAGTTGTCTATCATATTTTCATCATCAGATTCCTCCTGATCTGTTATAGACAAGAAAGGAAAGAAGAAAGCTACTAAAGAATATCAATACAAGTTTAGCAGCATGTAAAAAATACAACACCTATTGGAAGTATAATTGGGTGTTGTGGCCCAACAGGAGCCATTGGAGCTGCTGATGGACTCCGATAAATATCAGATGAACAAAAGGGAAGAGATATTAAAAGAATGCATAAAACCAGTTCTATTTATTATTCTAATTCCTATTATTCTAATTCCAGATGCAATATACTCAAGCAGAAAATAATTCTTAAAATAATTTACAAAAATGCAATCTTATTAAAGGGTCATTCCATGTCAAGTTTCAGAAAAGTGCCCAGTTCAACCATCACAGATTACAATGAAATTTGGTGAAATTTGGTTTGAAAATGACTAGGGCTCAAAAAAAGGTTGTTTGACTTTTTATATCTTTGGAAGGAAAGGTAATTGAAACATGAAACTTTGTCCATAATAACTTAGCAACACAAGGTTTTCGAATATAAAATTTCATTCTCCTACTACTTTCCAATAGTTCACAAATTTAGTGTAAAGTTTACAGTTTTTGTAAAAATGCCAAAAGTAGAGTATGTTCATCACATTTTTACAAAAAAAGACCATCTGGAAACTCTGTTAAATCATTCTCGTTGGAAAGAGCATATTTCAAACTCCCTAAAAGGTTGGGTTGGTTTTTCATTGCTGATATATAAAGCCTAAAAATAGGGACAACGTTGAGGAAGTTGTATGGCAACGTCACATGCATTCTATTACTGTTTCGTCTTGTTTGTTTTATATAGACATCATTAGTACTATTATATTGCATTGGTCCATTGTGATTTTGTCACTACCAGTTTAGGCACTTCACCCAGCAACCCCATCACCATAGGGGACACGCCCAACAGCCTTGCAATACCAGCCACAGGTGTGTTTCTTGGTTTAGGATCCCAAGCCTGTAGTTTGGTTTCTTCCTTGTGTGTGTATGTGTCCAGTTCCCAAGCCACCAATTGGGCAGCTTATCCAAGGTTCCCAAGCCTAAAATGGGTAACTTATATGGTTCCCAAGCTGAAGTCCATACTGTTTATATGAACTGCCAAAATCCAACAATTGCTTATTTATTATTGAATTTACGTGCCATGTTCTTTAGCGTCGCTTCTGGGAATTGATTCTGACGATGTAACTGAAGCTGCTGAAAGCACACAGATAAGATGTGGTTCTGGAACCCAACAAACATCTTGTTTTTCAGGCCAATAAAATGAATGAGCAGAGTCTTGTGGATGCATAAATGTTACCAACGCATTATTTTGTTTAATTGAAATTTCCACGATGTTGCCTAAAGACCATTTTTTGGCATAAATGCAGGCAACATAAGAACCGGGAAATACTATATGTCAGCCAATTTTAAATTCGGATAGATGGTATAGGACATTTTCATCACAAAGTTAACGTGTCATTTGAAACTTTGCTGACAGAATTCATATTTGAATCAACTGGCACAAATGGTGATGATCTCTTGTGCCAGCTATTCTGCTGCTACTTTTCCGTCTTTCTTCTTGCAGCATCCTGCTTTTTTCGATTTCTTCCTTCGGAACATACATACATACATACATACATACATACACACACACACACACACACACACACACACACACACACATTTGTGAATGTTTCACCATGTGATTTTGTTTCACCAAATCACCCTGCGACTGAATTGGTGGCACAACTAAATGTTTGGCTGCTTGAGCCAGCCTCCAGCGACTATCAACTGACCAAAAACGGACGCCAACAGATCTGTTCAACTTTTGCAATAGAAATATTCATATATTGTAAAGTTGGAAAAGTAGCAAGTATGTAAACAATTCTGCACTAAGCAAAACAGTAGATCTCTCTATTCCCATGAATGTATGAAAAACTGAGAAAGTATATAATAGGGTTTTTTTCCCTCTTCCCCATAAGCCGTGATGGTGAACCTATGGCACACATGTCACAGGTGGCACGGGGAGCCATATTTGCTGGTATGCCAGTCGTCAGCTCTGGCAGACATGCACGTGCTGGCCAGCTGATTTTTGGCCTTTCGGAGGTCCAGGGGAGGCCATTTTCCTCCTCCCCAGGCTTCAGGAAAGCCTTCGGAGGCTGGGGAGGGCGAAAAACAGGCCCAATGGGCAAACTGGAAGTTTGTTCCCGAACTTCTGGTTGGCCTGTTGGGGCAGTTTTTCGCTCTCCCCAGTCTTCAGGAAAGCCTTGGGAGGCTGGGGAGGGTAAAAAACGCCCCCAACGAGTCACCTGGTTGTATGTTCCATTTGTGGGTTTCATCCCACCAGGTTTCCGTAATGGCAGCAATATCATATCTACCCTCATTTACTTGAATTTCTAATTCACCCTGTTTGTTCCTCATAGTCAGCTGGTTTACTTGTTTACGTGATCTCCCCAATCATGCATTTTGAATTTTCTTTATAACTTTCCTTTGGTCCGAACATCGTTGTTTGGTCACTTAGTGAATTGAGCTGCTTTTCCTGGATGTCAGGTTTTCTGCTACTGGTTAATTGTCTTTCAAAGAAGAAATTCTCATGATATAATCCATCCATAAAATGAGTTTCTTCCAAAGAGGTATTGTTTGGGAGCCTGTGGCGCAGCACCTGTAAGCTTCTAGATCAGTGTTTCTCAACCTTGGCAACTTGAAGATGTCCGGACTTCAACTCCCAGAATTCCCCAGCCAGCATCCGGACATCTTCAAGTTGCCAAGGTTGAGAAACACTGTTCTAGATAGAATGTGAACCCAATGCATTGCAGCTTTCTCTAGAAAAATGAAATTACATGAAGTGACAAATGCATAGTTATTAAGCTTCTTCCAGAAAACAATTGTCTACCTGCACTCTTCAATATCTGGGTGAGAATATCTAATGGGACAGGTTCATCATTCTGGATGGCCTTCCGCCTTTGTGTGATACACTCCTTTCCAGTCCGACGTAGCAATCTGAGACTTTCACGAACCTCCTGTATCTCTTTTCTATTCCCCGGCAGATACTAAGGAAATAACAAAAATCATCATGAGGGCGCATTCTTTAACATTATTATTAAGAGACTGTCAGCATGAATTGTGATTGCTAAAGTCTAAATACATGGTTAAATTCTAATTAAGGAAAAACAGACAATTCCCACAAAACATTACCTAGTCAGAAATAGTGACTGCATTACAGAACTTTATAAATACATAATTTTAATATAGGATGGGGATTTGTAGACCTGGACATATAAATGCTTCCCGTACACAATTTTCTACACTCTTGTTTTCCCATTCTTTGTTTCTTATTAGATATGTCCAAAGCACTCGGCGTGCAAAGTATTTTGTGCATACATCAGATAGTCTGTGTCTGGACCAATCACACATAATTAATTTAGATACATTTCCAGTCCAGCCAGATCCTCATTATGCAAAAATGTAGCTCTCTTAGGAAAACTATAAATCTGGGAAAAGGAAAGGGAAGAAAAGGAGGACCAGCATCAAAGTTAATAGACTCAATTATAGTACCAATGGGGGGCATCTTTGGAAGAACTGAAAGGCTAACTCAGGAACATCATCACAATCTTTCTATATCAGCGGTTCTCAACCTGTGGGTCAGGACCCCTTTGGGGGTCGAATGACCCTTTCACAGGGGTCGTCTAAGACCATCGGAAAACACATATTTTCGATGGTCTTAGGAACCGAGACACCAATTTGATGGTTGAGGGTCACCACAACATGAGGAACTGTATTAAAGGGTCATGGCATTGGGAAGGTTGAGAACCACTGTTCTATATGATCATTAAGAATCAGCAATGACTTGATAGGACATAATCAATCAGACCGCAATTCACCCCAAAATACTGGCCAAATCTTTGAGTTACAATGTGCTTGTTGCTAGATCAGAATAAAAAATTTTCTTAGTCTGTGAACTCTCCTTCACTTTATACCGCAACTGCCTCCCTTGCAGTTCTGATATCATATCCTCTCTTACTCCATAAATACAAAAGCACACACTTACAGTAACAGTATAACAGAGTTGGAAGGGACCTTTCAGATCTTCTAGTCCAACCCTCTGCTCAAGTAGAAGACCCTATACCATTCTGGACAAATGGCTATTCAATCTCTTCTTAAAAATCTCCAGTGATGGAGCACCCACAACTTCTGAAGGCAAGCTGTTCCACTGATTTAATTGTTCTGTGAAGAAATTTCTCCTTAGTTCTAGGTTGGATCTCTCTTTGATAAATTTCCAAACATTACTTCTTGTCTGGCTCTCAGGTAGTTTGAAGAATAGGTTAATTCCCTCTCTGGCAGCCCCTGAAATATTGGAAGACTGCTATTTTTAATTATATATCTTTAAACATGAACTTAACAAGTTTTGTTCTCCATTTTTACTACAGTGCAGCTAGCCTAATTTCTCTAAGGTGGCACCTCCCAGATGTACCTTTCTAGCAAGCAAAGCCAACCCTAGGTATAACAGGACTGGTAATATATTGTATTTTAAGACGCACTGGAGTATAAGACACACCAAGATTTTGAAGTGGTAAATTTAAAAAAAAGTTTTTGCACTCTGAAGACATCCCAAACTCTCTATACACTGCATTTTTTGTGAAAAGCAGGGCATGCAGAGAGTTTGAGAGGCCTGCAAAGTGCTCCTGGAGACTGGGGCAAAAGCAAGCAAAAAACAGCCCTTTTTTTTCGCTTGTTTTTGCCCTCCCCAGCCTCCAGGAGCACTTTGCAGGCTTTCCAAACACTCTGCATGTCCATTTTTGTGAATGGGGTAAGGTTTCGGGAGGTTAAAAATGCTGCATTCAGTGTATAAGATGCACCCAGGTTTTCACCCTCTTTTTTGAGGGAAAAGGGTGCGTCTTATACTCCGAAAAATATCGCAATTGCATAGAGTATCAGCTTCACCATTCAGCAAGGAACTGATCAAAACAACCTGCTCTAGCAAAATAGACAACAGTATTTCTTGGCTCTCACTGATGGAATTTCTGATTGGAGACTTATGCTGATTGCATTATGGACAAGTAAAGGCCAAAATATTGAGTGAAGGCCACATCTACATTTGATCAACAACAAGACAGCTTTGAAAAGGGGAAGAGAAAAGTCTGTACTGACCTGGAAAAATGGATTTCGTGCCTTGCTCACCCCCTTCATGACCATGGTAAATGCATGAGGAAAAGGTGTTTGGTCACAGTGTAGAGTGTTTAGTTCCAGGCCAAATGCCACCTGATAATATTGAGAAAAATGAGCAGGATGAGATATCTTTGTTTATAGTTGCTTGCTTCTGAGAATAGCAACCTTAGACAGCAATAGTTCAATACAGTAATGTAAAACTCTGCAACTAAGCAAAGGATATAGAAAAACAAGCTATATATATAATATGGCATGCATTTTTGTAAACAGTGCCTACCTACCTTACCAGATGCTAGCTATTTGCAACCAATTGCAAAGCTGCATTCAGATAAAACTACCTAGTGAGGTAAAACATGAATCTTCCCCAGCCCTTTGCTTTTTTGTGAACCATATTGTCACAACCATATTGTGAAGCTTTTGATTATGGCCATGCACTGGCCTCTGCATTAGAGATATTTTCTTATTTTACTGGGAAAAAGGAATTCATTTGCCTTTGCAATGATGTCCAGGGTCAACCGTCTGAACAGGCTCATCATATCCACTTCCATCTCTCCATCTGCTTTTTCATTCAGCACTTTCATGAGGTCTTCTGCTTGGTCATTAAAGATCTCCATAAAACCAATCAAGTAACTGTGCAATGAAAGATATGTTGCTTTCAAAAGAGCTTTTCTTGTGTACAGAAAGAAAGATTTATAACTCAAGTCAAGAGAGATAAGACATAATGTACACATAATTACACATATACTCCAAAGGTGTTTTTTTGAAGACACATTTGGACTTTTTTTTTGGGGGGGGGGGGGTTGAAGAGGTTTTGAAGAGCTGAGGAAGCTTCTTGGATGAGAAATGAAATGTCTTAAAAAAAAAACACCAGAAAGTTCAGTTGCTTCTTGAAACACCTTTGGGACAACCATGACCTGGATGACTGAGAATCTCCAGAGATGCATATATTGCAATTTCACTTAATAAAGGACACAAGGATATCCTTGTGTCCATTAAATAAATAAACTAATATACAAATATCTCCCATCTTATCTACCCTCCTACAACATTTATGTATTTGAATATTCACATAGATTTAATCATACAGGAACAGAGGAATACAATATGAGAATAAAAGAATTCTCTAGCCAGAATTATGTACAGTGATTAATTCTATTTGAAATGACATCTCTTAAAAAATATCAACCTATTCCAAGACATTTCCCCCCCCTTACTTTCGACTGAATGCTGAGTCTATAATTTTTCGTTGTTTGTGCCAATGATTGTAGTCAAGATCGGTTTCCAAGCCATTCCCTAAAAATCTGAAAAAGGAGAGGAAAAAATAATCTTGTACGTAGTGCTTTTCACCAGTTTCAATAACCTATTCTGCCCAAAAATCATGTTTGGGGCAAAAATGGTATGCCAAGGAGTTTAATTTCCTTTTTACATGCTGGCTTCCTTTCAGCATAATCTGGCAAATTGTTCTGACCTAGGCCTCCTCAAAAACATGAAGCAAAGCCTGGGTCCCATCAAAACATCTTTTATTTACACAACTGTGAATTCTTTTCATTCACAGTCAGCAAGGCTTAGCAAACAGTCTTTCAGAGGAATATTTATTAACACGAACCTTATCTCGCTTGGAGAGCTGCCATATAACTAGTTTCCAAATGCAGGGCAAGGCAACACTTGACACAGAGTCCCTTATAATCACAAACAGAACTTTCCACTCTTGAAACGACCAAACAAATTGTTTCCTGCAAAAGCCCACACCCTGTTCACTCCTCTTTTGTTTCCTATGGGAGGGGCCAATCACCTCCAAGGTGTGGCTTTATGCCCAAGTCGACTCTGCTTTCTTAGTTGTTCTTGTCTTCTGGCAGCTCTGCGCATGTGCACACTGAAAACAGGCTCCAGCTGTTTTTTTTTTTTTTAAGTTAGACTTATATACCGCTTCATAGGGCTTTCAGCCCGCTCTAAGCGGTTTACAGAGTCAGCATATTGCCCCCAACAACAATCCGGGTCCTCATTTTACCCACCTCGGAAGGATGGAAGGCTGAGTCAACCCTGAGCCGGTGAGATTTGAACCGCCGAACTGCAGCTGGCAGTCAGCTGAAGTGGCCTGCAGTGCTGCACTCTAACCACTGCGCCACCTCGGCTTGGTTCCTCTGCCTCACTGCTGTCTAACTCCTCCTCTGCCTCTGACGCAGAGCTTTCCTCAGCCCCAAGGACTGGCCCATGTTCCGCCCCAACTTCCTCACTGTCAGACTCTGTTGTCAGCTCCGCTGGCCGCCAGCAGGTTACAACACAAACTAACATTAAGTGGAAGCCATAGTAATAATTGCAATTTGGCAGTAGTGGGTGTCAATGGAAATCATTTATTAAACTCGTATGCTGCTCAACTCTTAATGACTAAGGGTGGTTCACAACAATCAAAGAAATTACAATAACATAAATAAAGATAAAAGATCTTTATCTTTTATCTTAATTCATTTCAAGTCAGGAACAGAACGAATCTGGATGGACAATACATACAGTACAAAACTTTCACTGGAAAATAAGAGATGAATCCGTTTTACTGAGTCAACAGAAATAAGTTCACAATTTTGAATGCTGCTGATCATGACAATCTTCTATAGTGCCTTATTGATCCAATATTTAGAGGCCTTAGTCTGCCTGCTCAGGGCCTTGGTTTCACCTTATTGTTGGGTGAAATTTCCCAGGTAAACCAGCACTTTAGAATTTGTTTTTCATCAATATAATGTACTTCAGTAATTCACACTGAGATTAAATAGTAATTCCAATTTAAATAATTTTTATTGAAGACTTTTGCTATAGGTAAAATATATTGACAGAGCAATCTTGGGAATTAGAAGATTTTCCTGATCAACCATTAATGCATTTTAATGTCATATATAATTTTGCTTTAGCTTACCTTACACCAAACATGTTGCAAAGTTGGCTAAATATCTTTGGGTCCTTTGAATACTGTGGTGACATCAGGTATTCCTAAAATTAAATTCTTCTGGTAAGTCCTTTACTGAGCGTGGGCAACAGAATGGAGCTAGCAGAATGTTTACTGGCCGTATGGCCTTCCTGTAGCCAATGTGGAGTTTTGTCCAGCAGATATAATCTCATTGTGCCCAGAGAAATATCTGCCTCTACCTAGGATTGAACTCATAGCCTCCTATTGTGAGGTGAGAGCTTCACCGCTAGATCTTCCCGCTCCATATATATATATATATGTATATGTGTGTGTGTGTGTGTGTGTGTGTGTGTGTGTGTGTGTGTGTGTGTGTGTGTGTGTGTGTGTGTGTG